CCTCAAATGCTCAGCTTCTGAGAAGCCTGCCCAAGTCACGGTAAACCCCGGCCACTCTCCAGGTGCCAGGCTCCCTGACCTCATGAGCACCGTCAACTGCAGCTTTACTTGGTCCCCTATCCTCAGCAGATGGCTTTTATGGTTTTCCACTTGCAAAGTACTTTACTTCAAGGCTAATTCGTGGGTGAAGCTAAGCTATGGTATCTCAGGTGACCGAAGGATTGAATGTGGTGTGTGACTGTGTGACCATCGATAGAGCAGTTTACGGCTCAGTGAAGCTCCATGCTGCCAAAGGCCACTTACTGAAGCAACACCATCAAATCCTCTGCCTTCTTCGCTGCCACACCCAAGTTCTACTATGAAGTTGTAAACCAGGGATTCAGCCAGAGAAAGCACTCAGAATCTTTACCCCCTTGTCCAAAGTAACTGAAAGACGACAGGGGTCAGTCTGTCACTGAGAAGTGACACATTGGCACAGGGTCTTCCCAGGCTCTGTAACCTCAGTCGTAGACACAATGAGTCACCACAAGGACAAGTTGAGGCTTGGAGGCCGTAAGAGTTGGGGAATAGAACTAACAGTGAGCCCAGAAACTTGCCCATGGCCCTAAGGATGCTAAGCATCCCAGCAGCTTTGCCAAGTGAGCCCCATGCAGTGCCCACGATCTGATGGATCTTGTCCAGACTCCGCAGATAAGTGCAGGCTTGTCCTCTGATCTCTGAGAACATGGAGTTGGCTAGGACAGGACCATGTGCGAGAAATGCCTGCATGGCCAGAACGCCACATTGTCTGAGTCCTCAGCCTAATGCACAAAGATGGGGTATAGGTGACCCCTGCAGCATCCAGCAAAGGTGCCATCTTTTCTGCCTGAAAAGAAAGGGCTTTGATTTGCCACCAGGGAGGAGGGTGTTTAGGGAGAAGGCTGAGTGAAGAACCTCTTGGAAAGTTGGGGTTTGGGTTATACTAAGAACATAGAACTGAGACCCAGGCACTCTGTGAACTTTCTGAAAATGAGGAGGTAAACCTTCGGCTAAGATTTGACAGTTTGTATTGAACATATATAGGCACATTCCTCCAGTGATGTAATTTAACTCATAGTTCTAATTATTAGTATTAGTATTAGTATTACTATTACTATTTTGATTTCTCAAGACAGGGTTTCTCTGTGTAGCCCTGGCTGTCCTGGAACTATCTCTGTAGACCAGACTAGACTTGAACTCACAGAATCCTCCTGCCTCTGCCTCCCAAGTTCTGGGATCAAAGGTGTGCGCCAACACTGCCTGGTTTGTTGGACGTATTATTAAGAGCTTCTTATTACGGGCAGAGTGATGGAGATTAGAGAGCAGTAAACGTTCAAATGGACTCAAGATAAGATGTGCCCGTTTGTGCTTTCTCGTGTGCACCTCACCAGTGAGGAATTATTTGCACATACCTTCCAATGCTTTCCTGTTTTTCCCATGGCCAAGAGAATTTGGACCTCACGTTCTCTTTAAGTGGAAGGAGGATGTGTAGAACACACCTCCAGCGTGCCTTTGAAGAAATCCCTGCAGATAGTGTGTCTAGGCATCTCGCAGAACCCACACATGGGAATATACAGCTTCCCTTTGGAATCTGTGCTTTTCAGGGGAAGGAACCAGGCAGGGCTCTGTATACAGACCAAGATCCTATGAGCTTTCTCAGAAAGGAGAACGTACTGAGACAGTAAGGCATGTTAGTAACCTCAGAGCTGGTCCCAGAGACCAGGGCTTTTGCCCCGTGGAGAGCTGAGAAATGAATAGGCTTGCTGGACCGTTTAAGGAAGCAGCTGGAAGAATGTGCAGAGAGAGGCTGCAGAAGGAGGGTGTGAGGGAAGGTAAAAGATCAGAGCGGAGAAAACATTCCTGCCATGCATGTCTCAAGCACACAGGTAACAGGCAAGGACAGGTGTCCTCTCAAGTCATTTCCCATGAAACTTGACCCACCCTTCCACCAACAGAGGCCTGTTAACCCCATCTGTAACTGAAGGGCCTGCCCCTTATTCCCCGTGTGGCATTGTTGAGGGCTAGGAAGCTGCTTTGCAGAGCCTTGTCCTGGGAGCAGGTTGCTTTCTCCTTCACATGAAGCCAACGGGTTGCCTCTGCATCTGCCTACTGATAGCTGACTAGTGTATTAATTGATCACGGAGTCTCCTCCATCTCTGGCCTCCTTCCTGCCCAGGAACACAAGGACTAGGGGCCCTGATTTCCACATCTCTCACCACTCCATTACTCTGCCTTTGATCCCTTAGTGAAACTCGAATTTTACTGCAGCGGCCAAACTGGGAGTGATGGAAGTGGCGGCTAAGGCTTAAGCTTAGGAGGCGCAAGGAGGGGGCAGCAGCAGAGACCAAAGTGCTGCTTATTTGTTTGGAAGCCAAGAGGCCCTGCCTGCCAGTCAGCCCTTGTGAAGAGTGGGGTACCCAGATGGGGTGTCCAGGGCCCTGCCCACACGGGCTGTTGTGCACATGTTGGCATCAGAACAAAGGGAGAGTTGGGCTGCCTGGCTGACCGGTGCCCAGCTTCGTGCCACCCCGAATGCGCAGCCTTCTGTTTCTGCTCTAGCAGCTGTCAGAGGGTGCAGTGAGAGCCAAGAGGGGCTTAAGGAGGCCCCAGCGCTCTCGCATTAGGTTGCTGAGGTGGGTGCCTGGTGGAGCGTCTACTCCGTGCCTGGATGAGCCTCCCGTTTTAGCAGGCAGGAGCCTGGGGCCTTTATGATGGAGAAGGCTTTCTGGTGCCAAACTCTTTTCAGTTGCTCACATCTTGCTTGCAAAATGATCTGCACGGTTTAAGTATATTTTCGCTCCAGGCAATTTTCCCTGGAATGATGTAAAGAAAAGACGGGGAAAAAAAAACACTTGGGGGGGGGTAGCTTTAGATTTATTAGACCGTGGAGGAGAGCGTTTCTTAGTGCCTGGGGAATTTTCCAGATGCCCCCGAAGTGTAGTTGCTCATAGCTCACTTGGTGGGGAGCTTCCTGACTTGGCAGGTACAAGGCTCTCTACCCTGAAGGAGGATCAGGGCCTTTGCATATTTTCAGTGAAATGCTTTGAAAGGAGTGGCATTACCAGTGTTCAGATGGAAACTCGTTCATCATCCTAACCAAGAGGCTCAGCCAGGTCAGGGCTACATAATGTGCAGGCCCCCATGCAAAATGAAAATGTAGGCTCCTTTGTTCACATGGGGTTAAGGATTTAAGATGGCTCAGCAGTTAAGAGCGTTGGTTGCTCTTCCAGAGGACCCGGTTCAATTCTTAGCCCCTGTGTAGCAACTCAAAGCCGTCTGTAACTCTGATTCAAGGGGATTGGATACCCTCTTCTGACCTCCTGGGTACCAGATATTCTTTTTCTAAAATAACTGCCCTTAACCACACTGAAAATGCTCAGGAAGCATTTGTGTTAGGACCGTGTCCCTGAGATCATGATGTTAATCAAGCTCCCTGAGACAACTGGGTTCATCGGTCTTGTAAATGGTCATCTAACTTGTGAAGCTTGGCTTCCATGACTATCAGCTATAAATGTGACCAAGACCCAAGTTGGGCTCAGAGGACATATATGATCAAGTTATGACCCCTGTCCTTAGAGAGTGAATGCTTTAACAATAAAAAGAAATGGACAATGATCTTTTCATAAACAACAGCAAAACAAAAAACAACAACAAACAAACAAAAAACAGAGGTCTTTCTTCCCTACTGTGGCCTGACCGACAACTTCTAGAAAGTTCTATTAAGTGGCATCCTCCTCAACCTTGCCAGTCTCTTGATCACCAGGTCCCCCTGTGGTAACTATAGTTTATTTGCAGCCGTTATTTTCCATGTTTTGTGAGAAACTTTATTTCTTCCTACTCTGCTCGCCTTTCTGAGTGGCCCATTGGAAACAACACTGCAAGCAGGTCGAGTCTTGCAGTGAAACTTCAGGACATCCAAGGCTGAGAGATAGAGCAGAATTTGAGACGGTCTGCACTCTGAGAGTGGCCTTCCACGGCTTCCTTGGTACCACACTAAAAAGAGGGTCTGGGTAACATATTTTAGCCCTTTCTTCGCATTCTATTAGCTTTACTCCTTCTCTTAAGATAGATCCGGCTACAATCCTGAAAACCCAGCTTCGTTCAGAACGTGGCTTCATGGTAGAAATGGCCAGCGTTTCAACAGCATCGGTGATGTGGCCCATGCAAAGAGATTTGTTTCTTAGACACATGAATTGTGCTCTTGCTCCAGATGGGTCTCCATTCTCTCCCAGTTCTTACCCAAAGCTTACACAGAAGAAACAGCTGTGGGACACCAGAGAACGCTGAAGCCTTGTGTCAGGACCCTCAGTTCCTCTCACATTCCACATCGGGGTGCCGACTGGGGTGTCCCAGTGTCCAGGGAGACCCCTCGTCACTTAGAAGTATCATCAGGACATCCACCGAGTCCCACCTGTCCCATATCAGAGCGTATTAGTCATTACAGACTGTGGATCTTGGGCAGCAGCATCTTGACTATGACCATGGTTGGTGATGGAGTCACTTTTCAGTGTGAATGGGTGAGAACCTGGGAGCCTGTTCTTGATGGAACAGGAGGAAAACATTGACATTTCTGTTCCTTGTCCTCTTTGGTCTTCATTCTCGGAGCCTTCTTACAGCTGTACTTGGACATCTGTAACCTGACCATGACCCATACCCAGGACAGCTGAGTAGGACCAGCTCACTCTTAGGGTTCAGTATTGCAGAAGAAACTGTTCTGGTCACCCTCAGGCCAGATTCTCTGTGCCTCCCCAAACTTAAGTTTATGGACACCCCAAGTTTCACTCGATACAGTGATGAGACTGTGTATTCCATGCTTATGAACCTCTGTATACCACTAGAAGCCAAGAAGGGTCTCATCATTCTCTTAGGGCCCAGAGTAGATCCTGAAGAGCGCATTGTGACTCACAGCACCAACCCATCCTAGGATGCCACACTGACATTCTCCACCCACATCTACCTGGAACCTCCCTTCCTCTCCACAGATCTCCAGGACTTTAAGTTAGATGTGCAGCATGTGATTGAAGTGGACGAGGGGAACACAGCTGTCATTGCCTGCCACCTGCCCGAGAGCCATCCAAAAGCCCAGGTCCGGTACAGCGTCAAACAGGAGTGGCTGGAGGCCTCTAGAGGTAAGGAATTGGCAAGAACTCCAAGGCGAAGCCCAGGATCCCTGGCTTCCGATTGCTTTCATTTGTTTCATTGCTGTTGCTTCCTTCCTGAGTCCCCACGATCATGTTGACAGCCCCAACCTCAGGCTAGCCAGCTGTCCTCTACTCTAATATTTGGCTCTAAAAGATGCCAAGGGGACAGTTTCCATGATGGAGTTTCTCTGTCCTGTCTTGCAGACTTTAACTCATCTTGTGGGGCCCTGGAGAGCACTGGCAAGCTGTTGCCATTTGATCAGGCACTCAGCACATGGCTGGTTCCAGATGCTGTCGGTTCAAGCCCCTGGCACCAGGCATGGAGAGAAAAGCTGCCCAACAAGCCCAGAGTCCTCAGATCTTCAGCGTTCCCTGGTGGGAGGGAATCTTCCCACACACGGCCTTTGGTGGGCCCTCACAGCTGCCCCATTTCCTGGGCACTGGGATAATGTCAGCTCTCGCAGCTTTCTGCTCAGACCACAGTGGACAGGACGGCTAACCTAGGGGAGGCCACAGTTTGGCCCACAGTGCCAACAAGGAGGAGTATGACCACTGAAATTAAGTCAAAATCCTTCACAATACACTTACATGTAAGGCCAAGCTGACCTAACTTGCCCTGACCTTGTAGCTCTAAATGCGCACCTTTCATATTACAGAATTTCTTTGCTTACAAAAGAAATTTATGCTTATGATAGATATCTTAGGAGGAAAACAGAAACTCAGAAAAGAAAGATCACTGCTTTTGAAACGTAGGTACCCTGATCCAACCACTCACTCAGAAATAATGGTGTGGAGAGAAGAGACGGTGGGGGTTCTAATCCCTGTTCCCAGCAAAGGCTTGGCAGCAGTCCTAGGCAAGATTCATTCCATCTGGCATTTGCCTAAGCAGCTCACACCTGGGTGGCCCAGCAGCAGGCAGGCACCAAGCTTGGTGACACCATGGCTCCCAGGAGGGGCCACCAGGACCAAGCTCAGAGCTGACTGATGGCCAGGAAGCCTGGCAGAAAGCTCTGCCTGCCAGGAAACTGAGGGCCACCCCGTCGCTCGGCTGTCCAGAAGCTGTGAGCCTGCCTCCTGCCTAACAAACCTAACACATGCTTCAGGCCCCACCCACAGCACTCAAAGCCTGCCGGGCCAGTGAAGCCCAGGATCACCGTCACAGAGAGGGCTTTGGCTTGGGGCTGGAATTCCTCTCCAGCAGAAGAAATGCATAGTGGGGTGGCTTAGAGTAGTGGTTGTGACATAGATGGGCAAGAAATGCTAAAGTCAATTCCGTAAACTCATCTTTTCCTCATTTGTGCGGCATAAGCCTCAATCGTAATAGGATTTTAGCAGCATATCTTTTTTCCCGTTCTTCAAGACAGGGTTTCTCTGTGTATCTCTGGCTGCCTTGAACTCAGAGATCTGCCTGCCTCTGCTTCCCAGGGTGCTGGGATTAAAGACAGCCCCACCACTGCTGCATTACATTCTGCCTCTTTCTAAGTGGACCTACGTGTGGACGAACTCCTCAAGATCACGCTGTGTCCATAGATTCAGAGCGGAAGCCCAGATTGATGCTGAGCCCTGAATCCTTTCCACCCTCCCCCAGCTCCCTTGAGAGTGTGAGCCGAGTCTCACAGCCGAGTGCTAACTCAAGGGCATTTAGCCAAGCTGTTCAGGGGCCTGTAGGCTAGTTAGCTCCGTATCTGGCACCCTGCCGACACTGTACCAAGTTTTATGTGAAGAAGAGCATTTCAGGCTTTGCTTTATTCTCTCCGGGACCCCTTAACTCGAGGGGACTTTCAGACTGTAAGATTCTGTGCCCAAACCCACCTCATCTTCCTTCTCCCTTAACCTCTCCACAGACAACTACCTGATCATGCCGTCAGGGAATCTGCAAATCGTCAATGCCAGCCAGGAGGATGAGGGCATGTACAAGTGTGCCGCTTACAACCCAGTGACGCAGGAAGTAAAAACCTCCGGCTCCAGCGACAGGCTGCGCGTGCGCCGTAAGGATCAGCCTCTCTTGTCGATGGTGGGGTATTGCGGATAAGGGCCAGCGAAGCGGAAAGAGAACAGGGGGATCTGGGGATACCACAAACCAAGTTCAGGGTCGGTGAGCCTAGATGTAAAGAGGGGTGGCAGCAACCCAGCCTTGCTCACCAGCGTAGCTCATTGCTGTAGAGAGCGACTCCCGTAGTGTGTTACTTTGCCAGAGAGGTGGGTTTGCTGCGTAGGAAGGGAGGTCACAGTGTCTTCATGCAAGCGACACCCTTGTGGATGGCCTCTGGCCCTGCCTTCTGCTCCTAAAGTGTGCCCAGGTGAAAATCTAAGGCTCCTCCTTTTATGTGTGAACACTCTCACGCCTGGGCATCTTCTTAGGTTTCCTAAGTACTCAGTGAACTAATGCAGGGCACCAGAGGGAATTTTCTCCCAAAGTTAATGGAGCTAAAACTTTCTTATCCTCTTCCTATGGAGACAAAGAGTCTACAAAACTGTGTTTTTCTGGGTTTTCAAAGCCTATAGCTGCCACTGGCTGGCCTATTGGGCTTATAGGGTGAGTCATGGGGCAGGCTCTGTAGGGACCACTCCCCAGCACAGCAGCACACTGGGGAGCAACTGCCTTTCAACCATTCTATGCACCGTCTCCCCACCATTGAGAAAGATGGCTGCTCTCTCTATTAAGCCGTTTTGTGTTTGGGGACCTTGCAGTGTAAAAAAATGTATGACTTTAAACAGTGGCTCCTGTTCAGCTGAGTGGGTTGCTCATCCTGTAAGGGACATACCAGCTTGGATGCTGAAGTCTAGGTGGGGCCTAGCAGGTCTCCGTCTCTCACTTCATCATCAGACTCAAGGTGCACTGCCTGAAGCTAAACAGGAAATACTGCCTGTGATGTTCAGACAGTTTCCTCTTTGCACCCTTGCTCTCTGTAAGCGCCTCTAGTTAACACCCTAAGTTATGTTCTCTGTAGGAGAAAAACCTTGCCCCTGGCAAGTGGCATTGCTTTAGCTATGTTGTGAGCCTCAAAGGGGTTGTTTCATCTCAAGCCCATCATCTCCGGAACTCTTCTGGGGCTGGGTCATCAGAGACAGGATGGGGGAAGTTCATGTGTGTGTCCATTTCCTTCTTCCCTCTCCAGGGTCCACCGCTGAGGCTGCCCGCATCATTTACCCGCTGGAAGCCCAGACTGTCATTGTTACCAAAGGCCAGAGTCTCATACTGGAATGTGTGGCCAGTGGGATCCCGCCACCTCAAGTCACGTGGGCCAAGGATGGGTCCAGCGTTGCCGGCTACAACAAGACTCGCTTTCTGCTGACCAACTTGCTTATTGACGCTACCAGCGAAGAGGACTCAGGCACCTATCGCTGTATGGCTAACAACGGGGTTGGGGAACCCGGCGTAGCTGTCATCCTCTACAATGTCCAGGTCTTTGGTGAGCATTCCCATGGATTCATCCTCTTTAATCTTCCCCTCTGACGTTGCTGGTCGTTCCAGAAGCATCTAACCTAGCTCAGGGAGGGTTACATTGTGAAAGGCCATAGTTAGGGAAACACATTGGAAAGACAGAGGTTCTTAGATCTTAGGGCCCTGGATCTTTGTGTGATCTTTAGTCACCAAGACACATTACCCTCACACACACACACACACACACACACACACACACACCACACACACACACACACACACACACACACACACACACACACACACCCTCCTCTCATAAAAAGAGTCCCACAGCCAAGGAGGAGGAAGCCACTCAAAGCCACTCAAAGGCTTTGTAGTCCTGGGGGTGGGAAAATCCAACCCTCCACATTCTGATCTGTTTTCTCCACAGAACCCCCTGAGGTCACTGTGGAGCTGTCCCAGCTGGTCATCCCATGGGGCCAGAGTGCAAAGCTCACCTGTGAGGTTCGTGGAAACCCCCCACCCTCTGTGCTGTGGCTGAGGAATGCCGTGCCCCTCACCTCCAGCCAGCGCCTCCGGCTGTCTCGCAGAGCCCTGCGTGTGGTCAGTGTCGGGCCTGAGGACGAAGGCGTGTACCAGTGTATGGCTGAGAATGAAGTGGGCAGTGCCCACGCTGTGGTCCAACTGAGAACTGCCCGGCCAGGTGAGTGTAAGCAGCCCAGAGGTCAGGAACTCCAGCTGAGCAGGCCTATAGCCCTTTCTTCAAGTACAGTTGACCTTAGTGACTTGCAGTTGCAAGATCAAAAACCACACTCTCTTATTAGTAAATTAAGTGTGCAAATTTCCATCTGTGCACATGACCTCTTTGGTGAAAATTTCAAAAGTGAATTAGCTTTCCAAGTCTGTGAGCTTCTGTGATTATGCAGAATCAAGCTTAAAAACCAGGACTTTAAAACAAGGGCAAGTAGGTCCTTCCTTTTCAGCTAGAGTCACTTCAGTTGTCCCTTTTGTACTGGTGGGGCACCTATCGTGACGGAATGCAGCACACGAGAAAGATGCCCTCTACTGAAAACGCTTCCCGTACAGGAGGCAAAACCAGGGAAAGAATTTGAGAGAAGACTACAGTGGATGACTGTGTGTGTGTGTGTGTGTGTGTGTGTGTGTGTGTGTGTGTGATCACTATCATCTCTCAATATCCTATGGGGGTGGGTGGTGTCTAGTGGGGTTGAGACCAAGGCTGGGAAAGTCTGTGGATGGAATTGTTGCCGCTGCTCTTGCTTCTAGAGTCTCAGAGAGCATTCCCAATTGAGTTCATGACTCCAGTCACCTCGGTGGAGTAGGAGAAGACTGCCATGGTGTGCTAGTGTTAGAGTTTCATGGTGAAAGGACATGTTCCCAGCCCAGCGTAGCAAAGAGAGCTAAGGTCCCGGTGACTTTTAGAGCAAATGGGATAATTCGTGTGTGCTTGTTGGTCATTGCTGTAGCAGATGCCCAAGGGGAACAACTTTGAAGGCGGAAAGGGTTGTTGGGTTTTTTGGCTCATGGTTTCAGTCCCTCATGGTAAGGAGGGTATGGTGAGGCAGAGCCATTCACATTCGGGAGACACCTAAAAGGTCCTGCTATACTAACTGGCTTTGTCTTCTCTTCCATTTTATTCCACTGGGCTCTCAGCCTAAAAGATGGCAGTTCCTATGTTAGAGGCGGGTCTTTCCCTTTGGTTAATCCTCTTAAGAAACACCTTAAATCTCTAAACCCAAAGGTGTGCTTTCCTAGCCTCTGATGTGTTTCTCAACCAAGCGAAACTGACAGTCAAGATTAACCATCGCAAATCCTCCCTCTGTCAACTCGAGGACCCAAGTTCAGTTTCTAGAACCAATGTCAAGTAGTTCACCACTCCCTGAACTGTAGTTCAGGGGCTCTGACTCCTTCTTCTGGTCCCCAAAGGCTTTTGCACTCACATAGTGCACATCAACTCATACAGATGCATACACACAAATAAAAAAGTAAATCTTTAAAAAAGTCCAAGTTCAAAGTCTCTTCTGAGACTCAAGACAAGCTCTCTGCCATGAGCTACGGAAAAGACTAGCATTATGCTTTCCATGCACAACAGCACAGAGTAAACACAGTTGTTTCGAAAAGATGGAGTGGTGTAGAAAGGAGAGATAGGAACAAAGCAAAGCCAAACCCAACAGGATGAGTGAACCTTAAGTCCCATAGCTCTGTATCCAGTATCTGGGCAGCATGGATGTGAGTCTCGGCAGACTTGGGCACTTGCAGCCCACCTGGCCTCTCTCTCTTGGGTTAGCGCCTTGCATTGCCTGTTGCGTTCCTTGGCAAGCATTCCATGTTTGAGGGTATCTCTCACCTTCTTGGAGCTCTGTTGTAGCCCACGATTGCATGCGCCACTGTCTCAAGGGCTCCTCACAGGGATTGTGATTTTGTTCTGCACTGCCCTGTCTGTCAGGCCTTCCTCTTGGGAGGAAGTGTCTGTGACCTCACAGCTCTCGCACTCTGCCTGTCTACACAACTCTTGCCTTGTGGATGGCACTATCCCATCTGGAACCCAGCTACAACACAGTGGTCAATGGATGCCTGAATGTCTGGATGAAGGAGAAGCACTTCCCAAAGTGACCCCATGTGAGCAGGTTGTCCCAGAGAGTTCTCGTCTCAAAGCAAAGTCTGTGAAAGGATTTAAAACCTTTACACGCTTGAGGCTGCCCTGAGTGGGGTAAAGCCAGTTCTTGACATGCTTTCAAGATGCCTTTTGTACCATCTTGGTACAAAGTGTGTGACTTCCCCCTAATGGCTCTGACGGCTTTAACCACCTCCATGGCCAAAAGTATGTTTTTCAAAAGGCTTCACAGTCCTTCTTGTTCCTAATTCTCACTCTAGGCCTTGTAAAATCAACTAGCACTAAGCACGCCATGGCTTGGATGCTAACCCCCTTGTAATTTCCTCTAGTTAGTCTGTTGCTTTCAAACTTAGCTTTTGGAGAAGTCTTTGCCCCTGTGTTCTCGTTCCATCTTTCCTATCTAAGTCCTTAAGTCTAGCTTACGTCTGTCTTGCTCTATCTAAAGTACAGTCTCTCCTGTCACCTCGGTCAGCTTCCTGCTTTTCCGGGCTCCCACCAGAAGCCCGTTAAGTTCTGCGGACAGCGCCTAGAGCTTTCTTAGCACTCATGTCTGTTCTGCAGATCCCTGCTGTAAATCAGCACCAAAAGGCACAAGAACCACAAGGCAGATTTAGCTGCAATCTCAATCCCGCTTCTCTGGTGCCATCTTTCTGTGCTCGTCACTTTCTCCAGCCCCGTAGCAGACAAAATGGCATCGAGGGAGAAAACAGCTCAGAGGGCGGGAATCGTTTGTTTTGGTTCACGGTTTCAGAGGTTTTAGGGCAGAGCTCCCAGCTCTGCTGAGTCTGGGACCAGAGTGAGGAAGAACTTCATGTCAGTTCCTGTGACAGAAACAGTATGGCAGATTGTAAACAGAGAGGAAGGAACTGGGGAGAGGGACAACCTTCAGAAATACGCCACAGTGACCTACTTCCTCCAGAGAGGCTCCAAATCCCCCCAAAATGGCGCTATCGGTTGGGAACCAATCTTTTAAATATACCCTGTAGGGAATATTTGAGCTTTAAGGTATCACATCTGCTCCAATGAAATGGCTCAGCAGGTAAAGGCGCTTCCTGCCAAGCCTGAAGACCTGAGTTCAAGCCCCAGGACCCACCCACACAGACAGCCAACTCCCCAAAGTTGTCCTCTGACCACCATATTCACTCTGTGGCGTGCACACACACACACACACACACACACACACACACACACACACACAAACACTCTTAAAATTCAATAAAAATTAAATATAAACCTCAGCACCACTCAAATACACATCCTGAAGACACGGGCAACAGGTTACATAGACGCTGCCTGTTTTCTGCCTTCAAACAGCAGCAAGAGGCCTGGTCCAAGTGGACACGCATCCTTTTCCTTCTGGCATGACAAGGGCACCAGCCTTCTCTTCTGCAGAGCCTGGTTGTGTGTCACAGGTGGGCTGATGGGGGTTCTTAGGTCTCCTCTGATTTTCTTCTGTTTTCTCCCTGGCAGGTGATCAGGGCCACTAACACCTTCCTCCTTCCCTTCTCTTTCCTGCTTGGTCCTCAGACACGACCCTGAGACCCGGAAGAGATGCTAAGCCGGTTGCTGCCACACCTCCCATGCCGCCCTCCAGACCCAGCAGACCTGACCAGATGCTGCGGGAGCAACTAGGGTTTGTTAAGCCTCCCACATCAGTACAACCGACCTCCCTGAAGTGCCTGGGAGAGGAGCAAGTCGCCCCTGCAGAGGCCCCCATCATCCTCAGCTCACCCCGAACCTCCAAGACTGATTCCTATGAGCTGATCTGGCGACCTCGGCATGAAAGCAGCAGCCAAGCACCCATCCTGTACTACGTGGTGAAACATCGTAAGGTATGACCCTGGCACTGTACCACCGTCTCCCTGTGAGCCTCCTCTTAGTGAGGCTGAAGTGAGTCTTTCTGTCTCCTGACCTGAAGTCAGACCGCTAGGGCACCACAACTGTGCCCTTCCATCTTCTCAAACGCCTGTCGCTACCCTAATGGCAATATAGACAGGTGGTGGCTCAGAGGCCCACACAGAGCCTCTGCCTGTGTGGAGCAGGCTTTGTGTACTCAAAGTCCAGAGATGACTCCCTCCCTCCCGTTACCATCACCACCCTCCCCACTTACCCCCATCATATTTTGGTGATGCTATTTCCATTTGTTTTTCAACCAAAACAAGCTTTTTTTGTTTGTTTGTTTAAATCCCTGTGGTGACTTTAGCAGGGCAAATTGTCTGTCCAGCCGGGAAAACAAATATTAGGAGGCAAAGTAGGCTGTGAAATGCTCTCAGTCCTCAGATACTGTGGTAGCTCCAGTTTAACCAGCAGGCAGTAGAGCCTGGCACATCACGACATTGAGACCTTAGCTGTTTCCTCTCAACAAAGGGAATCTGTCCAGGGGCTACTGTAGAAGGGTCAGGGAGAGCCTTTTAGATGGCAAGAGGCTGCAGAGACAGAACTGTGCTGGCCCCATGGTCTCGGATGCGGTGATGAGGCGGACCAAGACCTTCAGGCTGCCACTGTCCTTCAAAGCTGTGGAAGGAAGATGAGATAGAATTCCTCATAAGACAGCATTTCTGCCCACCACAACTTTGTGCTGTTTCTTTTTAATCCCATCAGATAGTAGAAAAATGCTGGTGTTTAAATGGATTAAAAAATATTATCACCAGCATCCTTTTCTAAACGTGGAGTTTATCTTCATTTATAATTCTATTTACTTATTTATTGCTTATAAAGATGGTTTGTGCACTTGGAAGAAAATGTGGGAATGTGAAATGGAACTGAAAATATTTACTCACTTTTTCCTATTCCAAAAGCAAATAGGAAAGCAAGACTACCCTTCCTCGGTGGAGTGTTCTGCCCTGCACAAACCAGGTCCCCACTGCAAACACTTCTGGCCTCTCATAGGCTGTCCTTTTCTTTGTCTTTCCCTCCCCGAAGACCTGGGAGCCAGAGGAGTTCTCAGAGACATTAGGTGGTCAGAAAAGTTCCTAAGACCAAGCAACAGCATGTCCTGCCATGTAGCTTCCCTGGTAAGCATAGGAGGCACCACCATCTCCACCTCCAACCTACTCCTTGGAACAGCAAAAGGTGTGAAGGCTTTTATGAAAAGTAACAGCCTTGTTTAGCCTGTGTTCCAGGGCAGGGCTGGGCCCCATCTTTATTTTCCTGTGTAATCAGACACCTCCCTGTGAATTGTAGGCCAAAATCAGGGAAGGCCAAGCATGGTACCCAAGAGACAAAAACCAGTGTGAGAATAAGAATAATATTTTTCAGGCCAATAGGTGGCCCTAAAGCTACCTCCCACAACAGACAGGCAGGCGGCATTGCACGGGGGTAATCCGGAAATGCCAGGCCGATGCTGCGTACACCCTCCCACTGTGTGTGACAGTGACTAATTACTCTTGCCTTTTTTATTTTCATTTCTGGGTCCCAGTGGAAGTATGAGGCCAGTTCTGGGAGGGCAGAAGGAGGAGGGGATACAGGGAAGTGACAGTTAAGACAGGGCCCCTGCCGAGTCTGGCTTCCATTTGGCATTGCCCTGTGGAACAGTTGGAGCTTTTAGGTGGACTTGCCAAGGGGGAAAGTATGTCTTGAAAGCCGTTCTTGCTTGTGGCAGTAATATAGCTTAATGGTCATCACCCAAGAAAGAATGTTGGGACCAGAAGTCAGAATTGGGTTGTGTGTTTTCCATGCCCTGTCTTCTGTGGGATGTTGGAAATTAGTCCTCTGATTTTCATGTCCGTGAAACAAGTTTCATCTCCTAGTCCACTGTAGACATGGGCTACTGTGTTTGGGTTTCTAGCACCACTGGGGATTCTCAGTTTGTGAAAACCTTTCCCCTTGGAACAAATCCTGGAAGTTCAATGTTAATGAGCTCAGACCATCCACTTGCCTTGAATGGGAGGTTTTGTTCTACTCTGGAATACTCTGCGTAGGGATGAGAGCTTTCGCCACCAGCTGCTTGCTTTCCTCATCAAACCCCAGCTTCCATTCTGGAAGGCTTTCTGAGATACAAGGAGCTGGCCCCTCTTAAAAGATGGAGGGTTGCATGAAATTATCTCTCGCCATTGCCTTTGGGGTGTCTGGAACCCTGTCATAATTTTTATTAAAAATTCATTTATAATCCTTAACATGGACCCTGTTTTTAAGCTTCAAAAGTGTGGATAGAGAGCAGGAAAAAATTAAGTTGAGAAATCTCAGAGGATGATACATACAGAAAGGAAGGAGACAAACGAGCTAGGTGTTTATTTGTTGGGGACCTCACCCATGCCACGTCATCTAATTTGACCTCAGAATTCCCCAAGACGTCGTATTTGCCTTGTTTTAGAAGTAAACGGCTCAGGGCTGAGGAGTGAGGGAGTTCGGTCATGGTTATTAAGTCAGATCTTGGAGTTTTCTACCCCCAGACTCCTCGTGGTAGAACATGTAGCGCGAGGGCTTCTGTGCTCACTAGCTCTGCAGCCTTCAGCAATTTCCTCGGCTGTCTCAGCTTAGGTCCTTTGCCTGTGATGTGAGGCAGAATGAAGACTGATTGCTGAGACTTGCGGACCCGTGAGGTAGTGCCCTCATGGCAAGAACGCTCTGGTGCGCGTCCCATTGATACAGCTTTGGTCATCATTCTTGGCTGTGTCCCTCTTTATCTGGTTGGAAGGCCCTGTGTTTGACTCAGGATGCAAACACAGAGAACCTTAGAGGAGGAAGTTGCAGGAGATGGGGGGGGGGGGGGTCTTAGGCGCAGTCCCCAGCAGTTTGAGCTTGGCTTTCTAGCAATCCTTGAGAGCTTCCCTCATGGGATTATTACCCGAGAGACCAGGAGATGGGACCTACAGTTGCACCCAACTTGGCCCATGGTCCATCCCCTCCTCTTCTGCCCATGTGGATGAAGGCTGAAGCCCTCCTGGACACTAGAGGAGAGGCTGGTCCTTACCCCAGTCACCTTCTTCAGCAGGTCACAAACGCTTCTGATGACTGGACCATCTCTGGCATTCCAGCCAGCCAGCATCACCTCACCCTTACCGGTCTTGATCCTGGAAGTTTATATGAAGTGGAGATGGCGGCCTACAACTGTGCCGGAGAGGGCCAGACGGCCATGGTCACCTTCCGAACAGGTAAAGTCCAAAGTGCCTAGCTCAGAGTTCCAAAGGCCAGGGCAAGTAATAGGAGGCCCGTGTGCAAAATCCTATTGACTTTGTATAGCTATTCATCCGCAGCTCCATCCTTCTCCAGTGGCTGCCTCTGTGGGCTTATATGCCTGGGCTAAAGTGCTTACCTTTCTTCATGTAAAGGATGAGCCACCTCTCTGGCATCCCGCCATGTCTCCCAAGCACAGGGGCCAATAGCAACACCATAGCTGAGTTGGCCAAAGCTGGGGATTACACCATACTTTTAATACTCTCAAATCATATTTGTATCATCTCATCATGGCCCTGGGTAGATTCTTAGGCAAGAAGGGATTTTGATAAGGGAGGGCTCATATACTCTCTCACTTGCTGTCCTTAATCCCTTCCCTCCCAGGACGGCGGCCCAAACCTGAGATCGTGGCCAGCAAGGAGCAGCAGATCCAGAGAGATGACCCTGGTGCCAGCCCCCAGAGCAGCAGCCAGCCTGACCACGGCCGCCTCTCCCGTAAGCCCAGCAGCAGTTGGGGGCAGGCTATGAGCAATGGGGACAAACTTTCACAGGCATGTTGCTGCAGGCTGAATGAGGTTAGGGTGCTGTAGCCCAGGAGTCTGGTGACATATTCTTAGCATCTCCTTAGTAACCACAGTGAAAAACAAAAATTACAGCTTGGAATCCTTGGGATAAAATACTAGAATTACTGTGTCTGTGGGTTCAGAGAGCAGCAGTTCTCTGTTTTGGGGGAAGAGTAGAAGAAGATTTAGCTCTGGGCCTTCTCCCACGCGGAGGGATTTGAAACAAACAGCAGCAGGCAGAGGGCTGGGAGAATAAACAGGCCCTGTCGGGCCAGGCTGGGTCTAGTCAGCCTACAGCATCATCCCATGGTGTCTCCGTCTTCCTGCATCTTTCCTCTGTGCATGGCCATCCCAGCCCCAGAAGCTCCAGACAGACCCACCATCTCCATGGCCTCAGAGACCTCTGTGTATGTGACGTGGATTCCCCGCGGCAATGGAGGTTTCCCCATCCAGTCTTTCCGCGTGGAGTACAAGAAGCTAAAAAAAGTGGGAGATTGGATACTGGCCACCAGTGCCATCCCTCCCTCGAGGCTGTCTGTGGAGATCACAGGCCTGGAGAAAGGTAGGGACCCGGTGTCTCTCTTCCTGGTCCTCTCTGCCCTGGTACCACATGGAGGAGGAGGAACAATGAAGGGTGTCTCCCTTCATCCTCCCACCTAGAACTTACAGGGATGGAATCTGTGGTTCTGCCTCAGCCCCTCCTCCTTCCTCTCTCTCCAGAAGACGCCACACTCACTTCCTGTGTGGCTTGAGGAGGATGTACATTCTTATGTGTCCTGTGTAGACCTCTTTGGGGAAGAGCTGACCAGATCTTCCTGGGCTAGGCCTCAGTGGGCAGTGGGGGAATCAACTGTATTTCCTGAACTCAGGGAGGGTTTCTCTCACAGGCATTTCCTACAAGTTCCGCGTCCGTGCCTTGAACATGCTAGGGGAGAGTGAACCTAGTGCTCCCTCCCGGCCCTACGTGGTGTCAGGATACAGTGGCCGTGTGTACGAGAGGCCGGTGGCAGGCCCTTACATCACCTTCACGGACGCAGTCAATGAGACCACCATTATGCTCAAGTGGATGGTAAGCGGCCTGGCCACCACACCATGGGGATGGTCTTCCTCTTACTTGCCCGCAGGCTTGGCTCCCCATTTGGTACACCCGAAGGCTCGGCCACCATGGGGGACCTGGGTGATAGTCGCTGGAGCTGCTGTTAACTGTCTCTGGTGACCTGGCTCTCTCTTTCTGTTGCATCCCACGCATCCTCCTGCCTTTCACCTGAGACCGTAGGGAATCCCAACACTTGTCCAGTATTACCGTCATGTTTTCAGGGGGCTCAGGAACCAAAGTCTTTGAATAAGTGCAATTTATTTCTTCTAAAAACTCCAGGGCCCATCGGCAAAATAAAATAAAGCCTGATCTCTACAGTCTTCTTCAGAGAGCCTGAGGGTCTTAGCCGGGAATGTTTGCTGGGGTCCCCACGAAGTTCAAACACTGGGGAGGAGATTGCACAGCTTTGTGGTTTGGCTTTGATGATGCTTCTGATTCACTATCAACATGTCTCTTCTCCATTCCATGTAGTATATCCCAGCCAGTAACAACAACACTCCAATCCATGGCTTCTATATCTACTACCGACCCACGGATAGCGATAATGACAGTGATTACAAGAAGGACATGGTGGAAGGTAAGATGTGTGGATAGTGTGACCTTTGCTGACAAGAGGAGCCTGGGGTTGGTAAAACCTCATCTATGCTAAGTGTCATTGAGTCATTTATGACACACATGGAGCCATCCAGTTAAAAGACTCAGTACGCTTCTTTTTTAATGACCACAGCAAAATAGAAACATGAGTGGTCACCAAACAATTCTCCTATGCCTCCTGCGTTGGTCAGTGGCAATAAACAACCATAGTGACCCTCGCTCTCCTTCCCAGGGGACAGGTACTGGCACTCCATCAGCCACTTGCAGCCGGAGACCTCCTACGACATTAAGATGCAATGCTTCAATGAAGGAGGGGAGAGCGAGTTCAGCAACGTCATGATCTGTGAGACCAAAGGTGATTCTCCCTGGGTCCCCTCCTGTCCTGGGAATTCCCACAAGGTTGAGCAAAGTCTTGCTTCCATTCACCCAGGTATCCCTTTCCAAGAAGACCCTGATTTTTCCAAGTATCCCAGACCTCATCAGTTGCTACCCTTCCTATTTGTTTGTACTTTGTGTCGACATGTGTAAACTACCATCATGATGGCTTCAAGGACTTGAGAATTAACTGATCCATGATCTCATTAGGAATAGAACCCATCTTCAGATGGAAATGTTCTTCAGATGGAAATGTTCCACATACGCTATATTTCTTGGGTTTTTGTGTGTGTGTTGGTTGGTTTATTTAATTCCACTGCAGTCTGGTAAGATGGGAAGGAGATCTGAACATCAGGAAACTCTTTAGATATGCATCTTGGCCAAAGTTACACAGCCAAGATATGGTAGAGCCAGCTTCAAGCAGTCCCATATAGCTACAATCCCAGGCTTCTTTTCTGCACTGAAACATTAAACACCCACATGCACTTCTTAAAATGTGTGCATTGCTCAGCGATTCCAGTTTTTAAATACTCACAATGAGATAAAGCCGAGTATTGCCAGGGACACTATCAGAAGATCACAAAGGAATCCAGAGAAAACAGCACTTTCCTGTGACTGAGACAGCAGTGTTCTCTGTCCCATTTTACAGTGCCTTTGGTCACCTCACTTAGCACCTCCGGTGTGCACGTGGCCTCGGTGCCATGTCCACCAAAGAGAGGGACATACGTGCACACAGCCCAAACTCACGTCAATCTGACCACAGAGTACTCAGGGAAGGCAAGCAGCTTCATAAGGCCTTCTTAGGTCTCCAGACTGTCTCTTTAGGCTGGAATGGGGAGGGAGTGGCCTGGGGGACACGTCAAACCTAAAAGGCCGTTCCAATGGGAGGAGAAGGGGCAGCTTAGGGGAAAGGCCAGAGACACCAGCGGCAGCGGGTCACTGAAGGATGCCAGAGGGACTGTGAGCTGGAGGAGGTCCTCGTGGGGCTTCTTGGTAATAAGGGTCACGGGTGGGCTGAGGGGAGAGAGCTGGGACTCTGAAATAAAGGTGAAAAGAACAGTTTCCATCATTGCTTTTGGGCAAGACCTGGGCCAAGTGCATGCTGGGTTGGGGGAAAATAAAGTACTTAAAAGCAAACTTGAGGTTTTCACCTAGAACACTGCTCAGGTGGCTGCTGTCTGTTGGGATGGAGAAGGCAAAAAGAGAAATGGACCACATAGGAATGGGGAAAAAGGACTGGGAAAGTTACCAATGGCTGATTCTTTGGGGATGCTCAAAGCATCTGATAAAAACAGTAGGTCGCAGGGCGGTGGCGCAGGCCTCTAATCCCAGCACTCGGGAGGCAGAGACAGGCGCACCTCTGTGAGTCTGAGGTCAGCCTGGTTTACAAGAGTGAGTTCCAGGACAGGCTCCAAAGCTACAAAGGGAAACCCTGTCTCAAACAAACAAATAAACAAGCAAACAAAAAAACACTAGGTCACCTGGGCCCAAAGTCCTTAGGACTTAAGAGAATCACGGGAACAGAGCTTACACAGACTAAAAGGAACTGGGACGGCCTTCTGGGATGGGAGGAACAGAAGAAAGGATGAATCGTGCTAGACCAGGAGGCTGTGACATCAGAAAGCAAGAGAGCAGTATGTGGCAGAGTTCATTCAGGTTCACCCACAGTAGCAAACCCCAGTGAGGAACATGTCTTAATGTTCTGTTTTTGATTTGCATTTACCAGTTATCTGTCCCACAATGTCCCCAAATGTCCTTCTCCTCTGCAACCCAAGCTAATACCTAACATTTCACATCCCTTAATCTCCCTAGAAATGGCACAGCTGTGGGAAGGGTCTTCCCCAGAGGTCCTTTACTGCTCTCATGCATTTAATTTCAGAAAACACGACTACCCCTGTCCACTCTGACTCAGGGCTTGGCTCACAAACATGCGTGCTGGAATATGTTTCAGGCCAACAATGTACTTCACGTTAGGTACCAGTGTCACAATAAGTTACAGATGTGATCCAAATAAGCCCTATCGTGACCCCCATCTTGGCAGCTTGGCCCATTTCCTGTCTTCATGCATCTGAGGAGTGCTCTGTTTTCCTATTTGTTGTAGAGAAAATGACAGAGAAATCAATACTGATGTGAGTTTTGTCTTCAATTGCAGCTCGGAAAATTTCCGGTCAGCCTGGTCGGCCCCCACCCTTAACTCTGCCCCCACCACAGCCCCCACCGCTCGAAACCATGGAGCGGCCGGTGGGCACTGGGGCCATGGTGGCACGTGCCAGTGACCTGCCCTATCTGATTGTGGGGGTCGTTCTGGGCTCCATTGTCCTCATCATCGTGACTTTCATCCCCTTCTGCCTCTGGAGAGCCTGGGCTAAGCAGAGTGAGTACCACACCTCAGCACAGGCGGGAAGGAGCTGGGGGAGGGAGGAGGTGTCTCAGCACAACAAGCGGGCAGGTTCCCAGGCTGGACCTCCCTGACGGCTCAAGCTACCAGGTGACCACAGACATAGGGACTATCTGAGGCAAGCCCTCTTGGCTTCTTCCCTCTTGGCTTGCAGATGTCTATCAAGAGCAGGTGCCCTATCACACCTCTGGCTCTTGGTGTTTACCTGCTCCGTCCTTTTCCAGTGTCTGAAGCCTTTTCTCGAACACATATTCGTATATGAACTGCTCCCACCTCTTCCCGTTTTCTGCTCTTCCATCCAGCAGGAGCTGCCTTGAGCCTCCCCTTCCTCGTGGGCTAACCTGACTTGCCCACTACTTTCTGCTTCAAATAGCAATAGCCTCAGCTGACTCCCCTACTACACAATAGCCCTTTTCACGTCGTCGCTCCCTAAGCCCTTGCCCCCTTGTCTTCCTATCTCTTTCACCCAAAAGAAGACATAGGTGACGAGAAGTCTCAGAAAAAGCATCGTCAGACTCTTGGACCGTCATCTCACAGCCTCTGACACGGTGAGAGGGGGCTTTTCCCAGGAGGCTAAGTATACCTCTGTCTTCTGCTCTTCAGAACACACAACAGATCTGGGATTTCCTCGAAGTGCCCTCCTGTCTTCCTCCTGCCAATACACAATGGTGCCATTGGGAGGACTTCCAGGCCATCAAGCCAATGGTCAGCCTTACCTCAGTGGCATCAATGGACGGGCCTGTGCCAGCCGACTGCACGGAAGCCGGGGATGCCCTGTGGCTGCAGCTGGCTGCCCAGGCAGGAAACCTCAGCGGCGCTGCCCAGGAGAGCTTGCACAGGTAATGGGCTCATGAGTGTGGGACCCAGCTGCATATATGGAGGACAATGAGCTGCCTCTTGGGCCTTCTCCCTGTTCATCCAGAGGTGCTGGGCTGGGCTCCCTACAGTCAACTGCAGCTCACCCCTCTCCAAAACCAGCACTGGGAAGTTGCTTGCACTCCTGGAATGACCTTTCCTTCTTCTTTCCTTCAAGCAGCAGGAAGAAGCCAGCACCCCACTTAGGCAGACCATTGTTGGCAGTGGATATGACCCTCAGAGCCAGCAGGCTGTCAGGTAACCAGGCCCTTCCCGTCCCTGCTTTTAGTCCCAAGCCCCAAAGCCTCCAATTCACTTTAGCTCATCATGACCAAAGTCTGTCACTCAGAATCAAGCAACGCTTCTTGCAAGGATTCCCAAGTTTGCCATTTGTGCTTGCTATAGCTATTACCCCGTGGGCAAGTGCTGTGTGCCCAGTTATGATGCCCTTCCTG